GCACCCTGCCAGTGCCTGGCCTGGGCTTTGGGTTCTGCTGAGCATCCCAACCCTCCTGGTGCTTTCAGACCCAGTGCAGCCTGGCCACCCTCCAATGGGAGGAGGCAAAAGAGCGGAGCCAGGGGCTTTGGCCAAAATCCAGCACCCCGTGGAGCCCCCAGGCTCGCTCCTGCCTGCCCCTGCACCCCACGGCCCAGGGACCAGCACTCACGGTTGAGGCCCACATCATGGTACGTCAGGATGGCCGGGCGATTCCCCTTGGGTGAGCCCCGGATGACCACATGCAGGAGCCCGTAGGGGGTCTCGATGTCATGTTCCTGGAGGAAGAGGAGAGATGGGGTGATGCCTGCCTGCCCCAAGACATCCTCTCCTGCCCCACCATCCCACCCCTCACCCTTCCCTGGGCAGCTGGGTCCCGTGTTTTTTGAGCAGCCATCCTGGGAAAACCCCCAGATCTGGGCATCCCGGCAGTGGCAGAAGGGAGGGCAAATCACGCACAAATGCTCCCAGCCTCCACGGACTTCCCCGGGGAAGGGGAAGGGTAAAGGGAAAGGGAAGGAGGACGGAAGGGGAAGAAGAGGGGAGGAAACAGGGAGGGGAGGGAAGGGATAGGATAATAGGATTTAGGATTGGACAGGTGTATGATAGGATGGGATCACAGGCTGGGATCAAGCGGCAGAGGTTTGGGATGGGATGGGATAATCCAAGAGGTCTCAGGAGAGGAGAATCAGGGGATGGGACAGGTGGACCACAGAATAGGACAGGAGATCTTCAAGGGGCCAAGACTGAGAGTGTTTTGGCAACAGGGTGGGGGATCACAGCATGGCCCAGTTGGCCAAACTGGGACAAACAGGCAGAGGTCAGACCCCAAGACACCACCCCGGGAAACACTGCAGCCTGATCCCAAAACAACAGCTAAAGTAACTTTAAAATCCCGTGGTCTGAAAGGGCTGTGACCCCACAGAGAGACCAGGACTTCCCCGTGCCTCAGTTTCCCTGGCTGGGAAGGCTCCAGCCTCATCTTCACAGCCATCATCCCCAGCCAGCAAGGGAAACTGAGGCTGCAAGCCCACATGCTGGCCAAGGCATCACCTGGGGACAAGGGACCAGGGGTCCCCTCCAGGTGCCCGTGCCTGCTGGCCAGCCCACTGGCAGTGACCTCGAAGCTGGGATCTGGCAGCTGCAGGAGCATCATGCACCAAGCAGGGCTGGGCAGGGGATGCTGGCAGGGTGCCCAGTGGGCACAGTCCTTGCCATGGGTACTAGCACCCCTGTGGATGGCTGGGCAGGAGGGAAGCAGGTACGTGGATTCTCCCGTGGGTTACATGCCACCAAGGACTCTGAAGGACATGCTCCTCTGGTGGGAGGAACCGCCTGAGGACAGGGTCTCCCCACTGCAGTGCCTCCCCCCACCTAGATCTCCTGTCCCCAGGGGGATGCAGTGTCTGAGGGCAGCTCAAGGGCTCAGCTCCCCAAGGGCGCTGGGCAGGAGGGAAGCAGGTACGTGGATTCTCCCGTGGGTTACATGCCACCAAGGACTCTGAAGGACATGCTCCTCTGGTGGGAGGAACCGCCTGAGGACAGGGTCTCCCCACTGCAGTGCCTCCCCCCACCTAGATCTCCTGTCCCCAGGGGGATGCAGTGTCTGAGGGCAGCTCAAGGGCTCAGCTCCCCAAGGGCCCCCCAACCCCAGCCCTCCTCCACAGCTGTCGCTCCACTCCCCAGGGCTGTATCAGGCAGCAGGCGATGAGCAGGGACATCCTCCCGTAACAACGGATGGGGAAACTGAGGCAGAGGAAGGGCCTGGCCCAAGGTCACAGAGCAGGAGGCATCCATGTGGTCTGAGCTTGGGCACAGGGCTGCCTCCTTGCCATCCCTATGCCCACGGTCCCCATCACAGCCCCAACAGCTCGATCTGCAATCTCACACCAAAACCACATGCCCAAGGTGGCAGCTCCTTCCACAGCATTGCTACCCCCCTCCTGCCCCGCCCCCAGCCAGGCACCTCCCTGC